CAGGAGGGACAGATGATTGTGGAAATAAGGCTTTGCATTGGTCTTATTTGTGTGAAATTCATGAATTTGTGATTTATTTTTTTGAATTTGAAATGTTAATTTTCTTAATTCTTGCCCCCATAGGAGATCAACTGATGTTTGTGTTTGACATCAAAATATGAAAATTGAGGTTCGTAGTTTATGTGGCCATGTTATAATTTTTGCTGAAAGGATTAAGAAGAAGAATAAAGATGAATTCTGGATCTAATTTATTTACTTACGTGTGTATACCATGAGAACATTACAGTAACAATGGCATTTGGTTCTGGAAGCTGTATTGAGTCTATAGCATTTATTTCAGAGTTGGAAACCCTGAAGTGAAGAAATGTAATCCAGCATCACCTGTCGACAAGGGCAAAGGTGATGACATTGATGGAGCAGTATTACGAAGCCCTAAGAATTAATATCAGGTTAGTTTTTAAATGTCGTATGGCACTTTTAGTAGTGTTTGAATTGAGTTCTTACTAATTTGGGGTAGTAAGTGCAACAGGAATTGAATTACATGAAGATAATTTAAGAATGCCAAGTCAAGTTACAGGGCTAACAAGCTTGACTCTATCATGGTGGATCTTTACGATTTTGTGTTTTGAGCCCTTTGTTTGACCAAGTGTCCCAGGTCACCACATATTTTCCCTTGGTAATGTTCTCCTGTTGTTAAAGACTTCTCGGAACATCAGTCACTTACTTCTTATTTGGACGAGTTCAGTGCCAAATGTTAAATTGACTGAAGACATAATATATAAAATACTAAACTTGTGAAATATTAGCTTTCACTTTAAGGAGACAATTGCAGAATAAGAACAATAAAATGATATGAGGCTTGGACAAAGCAGAGAATGATGATGAAAATTAATAAGAACTCAAAAGCAGTGAAGTGGAGTTTTAATTTCTTTTAATTAATATTGAGTCACGCCCCACGTGAGTCTCGTGAGCATTCCACACGTGTGAAGGATGGAAGCCAAGCTAAAGAATACTCCATTGCTCTATTGTTGGTGTAGTAGGTGCAGCATAATATGCATAATCTGTAATGAAGTTAGTAATCTAACCTCAATATAAGGAAGGAATTAATTCAAGAAACCTGGAAATTAGGATGTTTCTCTATTTATATGCTGAAGTGCTGAAAGGAGGGGTGGTGGTGGGAGGAATTTATTTGTGTTGTTGCCCAAGATGAATATCAGTTAATGAAAAGTTTAGAAATTCTTAAAATATATTAAGTTCAGGTTGCAAAGCTATAGATACAAATTTCAGCATTGTAGGGAGAAATATTTCAGACAGTATGAAGAGGTTATGTGGGGAAAGGATATTGGTGCAAGCAGGTATGGTGTTTAATGATGATGTGCTCTGCAATGTGTGGAGTTGCTGCTGACAATAAGGTAAGTGGCTAGCTGGGTTAGCCATGTCCCTGCACTTTTTAATAATAGCATAGGAATTGTTAAGGTAGCAGTATGTGTTTTATAGAGATAGGGTAATTGTGGTCCCTTTGTTGAGAGTAGACCCTAGGTGATATTTGGCCGAGTCCATCCCTTTAACTAAATCTTCATTGCTTCTTGTCTGTTTGGTCTTGTTATTCACATCTGTACTTTTACATGACCTCCAGGCCTGCACGCAGGAATGTTGGTCTGGAATTTGCAGGCACCATATGTCATGGTAAATAAGTACAAAGCGTTAATACTCTACGTAAGAAGAAAATAACTTGTAGGCTTACATTATTAAGAATTCTGTATTCTGTCGCAAGAGAGTGAATGTTAAATGGGCCTTGGCTTACAGTTAATTCCCTGATTTGTTATTGCCTTGAATATGTTGTGAAAAAGTGTAAGTAACAGGGTGATGAAAAAACTTCATAATGTGGAATTTTGTAAATTGTCTTGAACTGAAGTTGCCAGAAAATGTTATGGCCTGAAGCTTGCATGGCCCGAGATGATTTTATAAAAAGAATGTTTGGTAGTAGACTAGAAGTTGTGTAGAAAGTAAATGATAAAATTGAGTTGTCATGATTTTCAAGTCAGGGAATTATAAAATTGAATGAGGTGGTAGTTTGTTAGCTCATTTAAGCCAGCTGAAATTGGAGCCAGTGGCAGGCATTTGTTAACAGTACGGAGGAGAATTTCTTTGTCCAGTAACTAGACTTATCAAGAATTGTACTGCTGCTCTTGTGTGACGTATTTTTTAGCATATAATTCTTGGATCCCTTTGTTTAAAATTTCTCGCGTTTTCAGTATGGCGATTTTTTCCGTCTCGACTCCCGGCGTTGTGTGGGCGGTGCGGGGGTGGGTTAAGGTGTTCGTGGAAAAGGTGGAAAACGATGTAAAGTGCGAGAATCGATTGGTAGGGAAGCGGCAGCCATTAATCTTTGTGACGTCGCGGGCTGCAGAGGGTGAAGAAATGGATAGGTGCATAATTATTTCTACAATCCTGTGTATTTTGATCGTATTTCGAGAATTTTATTTGATGAGGCGAACCTATGTTAATTAATGCGTCAGAATTTGTAAGAGATGGTAAGTGGGACATTGCCTGGAAGTATATTTCTGTTGAATTAAGTATGTCCTTCCTTTATGACTAGGCTACTGTGACGCCATTTTTGGCGCCATTTTAGAATGTTGACCCCTATAGAAGGGAATTGGTAAGTTAGAATGGCATTAAAAACGCAAAATGAATTTTTATTTCTCTCGTTGCACAACAGTAAGCCTATATTTACTCATTTCTCCCTGTTGTGATCACAAACTATTCAGAATGAAGAAGTTGAGTCTTACACAATATATATTACTCACAGGCAGTTGACTAGAATGGCATGCCTTTATGGATAAATTATCCAATAAAATTGCTAGTATGTGCATTTACACACACACACACTCTCTCTTTAAGATGGTTACACTGCTGA